AGTCCAGGCCACCAAGCTTCAGCGCCATAAATTGCCGTACTGACTACACATGCGTTCACTGCAAGGATTAATGGTCCCGGAGCCGCACCTCGTTGGACCCTATTAATACTTCGTATAAAGTGAGATAGTCGTTGTGCCTTATTACACCATTCTTGAACATGTTGTCTAAACGTCAGTTGGGAATCGAGCCAGACCCCGAGCCATCGAATGTACGCGGAAGGCGTAATAAGCTGTCCCTCAACCCTGACCGCGAGGTTGGATGAATCTAGTTTCTTCTTCGGTCCTCCTCCTATAACCAGGAGCTCGGACTTAGAAGGGTCGAACCTTATCATGTGCGTTGAAGCGCGTTGGATTATCCTGTCTACTTCTACCTGGGCAGCCTCAACAGCCTCACTAGAATTTTTACCGACGCGAACAATGGCAATGTCATCTGCATATCCGAATATACAGTTTGGGGTTCCATCTTCAAGTAGGATTGAGATGTATAACATAAATAAAAGTGGCGATAGTGGTGATCCTTGGGGAACTCCGCACTCAACAAGCTTCTCATCTGTTACACCTTTTTCGTGTCTCACCAAAACTTTTCGTTGTTTCAGAAATGATTCTACCAGGCGACAGAGTAGTACTGGCCAGCCCTGACTTCGCATTCGTGCGAGCAGCCGATTGTGTAGCACTGCATCGAAGGCACCTTGTATGTCTAGCGTGACCATAGCTGTGACTTTGTTGGATCTCATTGCAGCTTCTGCATCGTGTATAACACATAATGCCAAGTCGACTGCTGAGCGTCCTGGTAGCGCGCCGAATAGTTGTGGAGGTACTGCCTTGTGTTTTAATGCAAGCCAGGACATCCTTTTAGCTATGAGCCTTTCCAATCCTTTGCATAAGCTGGAGAGTAGCGATATGGGGCGCCATCCTTTTGAACTGGAGAGGTCGCGTCCAATTTTTGGAAGTAGCACAAATTCCGCCACCTTGAAAGGCGTAGGGGAATATTACAAGTTGAGACAAGCCTGGAAGAGGTCCCTGACATATGTTCCAATCGTGCTCCAGCAGGCTTTGAGAAGTCGTACGGTAATCTTGTCGAACCCCGGAGCTGTTTCTTTGCTGCCAATGGTTGATGCTGTGACATCCTCCAGTGACACCTCTCCATCCCATGGAATCAACTCTGGTTGACTGTTCTCCCACGTATCGATGTCTTTTCTCGCGTTATACCTTGCAAGAAGAGAATCTCGCAACGCAACTGTCCGCTCTAGTGGATCTGAAAGCCACTCGTTTGGTGATACCCGGAGAGGAGGAGGCTGTTTCGTCGGCTTCGGTTTGGCCCATCGCATAAGTTTGAACACTTTTGCTTCTGTCTCTGCTGCCTCGACTTGCTTTGTCCAGTATTCACGTTTGGCTCTCTTCACTGCGGCTCGAAAAGCCCTACGTGTTACTACTATATCTCCAGATGTCCTTTTGGCTGTCCTGTAGTCAAACTGACGTCTTTTACATTCATCAGTCCACCAAGGCGCTGTTTTTCCCCTTCCCACCGCGGGTGTTCGACCGACAACTTTGATCGCGTCTTGAAGTACTTTGATTAAGCTCTTTGTGAAGTCTTCAATCTCGGTTTGACTGCTGAGGGGGCCGTGCCTTACCCATTGCCTTACGTATCGAGCAAACTCGTCTAGGTCACCGTCTCTTACGCGGATTAGCCTCGGGATCCCGGATAGCTGCGAGCATCCAGGTGTGTCAACCGAGCCTTCAATAGTGGAGTGGTCTGATGTACAGTCGAACCGTGCTGATACCGATGCAACTGCCGTCGTATTACTCCAGGTTAGATCCAGCACGTTTCCATCGCGATGAGTACTTTTTCCTAAGGTGTTTTGTAGCTGCATGTTGTTTCTGCGGGCCCACCCCATGATGAGATCACCATTTCCGTATTAGCGTTCTGTTAATGGCTGCCAATACTGTGAGACTGAGTTGAAGTCACCCCCTACTACTGAGGGTCCACTTGGTTGCCAGCTTAGTAATGGTTCCAAAGTCTCACTATGGCCTGGAGCACGGTAGACATTTACAAATGTCAGTCTACACACCTGCACAAAACAGTGGTCTGATGACTGGCTTGATGACGAGGGTGAGATCTGAGCCGCTTGGAGTCCTTTTTTCACAAAAGTGACAGCGCGTGGTCGTGGTCTCGGTGTCGTGTTTCCAAAGGGTATAAAACTATCGAAACCAGGATGGCTTTTCGTTCTAAACTCTCCATCTTCTTGCAAGGTCCATGGTTCTTGAACCATGACTATGTGCACTTCTGCATCCCAAGCTTGTTGCAGCGCTATGTCCATGTTTGGTCCACCCTTTCCCACGTTCACATGGTGAAATAGAAGGGTGCTATATTTTTGGTTGTGCTTATGAGAATTTGGTGTATTACTCATTATCAACCATCGTTTCTTCTGGTATATTAATGACCTCGCGGGCCTTACCTTTTTCTTGAGATCTTAAAATAGCAGCCTTAAAATCCATATGTCCGCGTTCCCGAATAACTCGCAGCTCGGCCGGTGATTGGGGCGTTACTTGTCCATTGTATCGCCTTGGCCGGGTCATGCAGTCCAAGTGAGTAGACTCGTGCGGTCCAGCGCAGTTTGAACATTTGGGGATGTTTGCCGAGCATTCGGCAGCTTCGTGCGAGCCAGGACACTTTACACAGCGCTGTCCTTTGACGCAGTTTCTTGTTGAATAATAGCCCCAGCAGCGTTGGCATTGCTCTATGGGGCGTCTACAAGAGAATGGTATGGCAGGTCCACTCTCGTCGAATAGTCTAAACCTTAAGTTGGAAGGTGCTTGTTTAAAGTGCACGATCCAGCTAGTGGAATACTGTCCAAACTTTGTATCGTTTGGGCGCACCTGTATTGGCATGACGCCGCAAGCTGCCTGGCATTCCATCTTCACCATTTCCCTGGTTACTTCGATTCTTCCGTCTAATGTACGGATGTAGATTGGGACATGCGGTACCATGACGGATGTCCAGTCTGACGCCGGTTCGATTGTGATTTCCTCTTTTTGGAGTGAAGGACCCACACCCAGAATTGATTCCCTGAGTGCATCTGATGCGCACTCCATTGCTAGACCAGACCTAACTTGTGTCATTGCTATGATTGCTGAGGGTGCAATCCCAGCTTTCTCTGTGACAATTTTCTTGATAGTGACTGGTGATAACTTGCGCCACTGATGCTCTCGTCCCATTCGAAGAAAAAGTCGTTTGTCTTCTTTGGGGGGTTCTTTTTCTGCTGGTCGTGTCTGCACAACAGGCCTTCGTTTGACCAGGTTGGCTGGCAGGTCTGGGAGCTTGGCCGCTTTTCGTGCCACTGTGACCCAGGGGGACTCAGCCACTTGAGGCTTTTTCGGCAGTTCATGAGGCGGTTTCTCGTTTATCTTTGTCACCCTTGGCACAGAGATTTTCATCTGAGTAGCTTCGGGGGAAGGGTTCTTACATGAGTTGTATGTGGCGTTGACGCTGCTTATTGCAAAAGCTGTCACAATAGGTGAAATCTTTTCAATAAAAGGCGCGATTAAGGCCGCACCATCGGTTCCAGCCTTGGATTTCGCCCAGGCGTCGATATTCTGCAGGAATTCTTGAGCTAGGGTCATTCGCTGCTTTCTGTCGCGTTCTGATTGCTGCATTGCGGCGGCAATCCCAAGAAGGCTCGGGTGTAGGTCGTCGCCTGGGTCGATTGACGCCGAGGACGACGGCTGGTTGTACGCAGCCATGATGCTGCTTGATTTTCAGGGTTTGGACGGATGGATATAGTAATTATGCGTGTGGAATGGAAGAAGGATCTGTAGATGATCTAGTGGATGACGTTGCAGCTCAGATAAGAAGTGAGCACATTGATCTTAATTCTTATCTGTATCGAAGGAATGTCCCCGGAGTGATTAATCCAAAATGCCAGTGTGGACATCCGTCTTAAAATGTCAAACATATGGTCTTGGCGTGTCCTCAGTGGGCAATGGGAAGAGGAGAGGTGCTTCGAAAGGCAAAAGATAGGTCATTTGCGGCATTGATGAACAGCTCAGATGATATAGAGAGAATCACAAAATGTATCCTGGCAAAAGGCTCGTTTGAACAATTCCGGCTTGCAGGAGAAGTAGAAATAGCAATGTATGAAAAGATGAGACGATGTGAACAAGGATAAGACGGAATTCACACTGTATAAACAGTGTAAACGCACTTCATGTAGGAAACCTCAGAAATAAAGTAGACGCGAGACAGACAGTTTTAGGAGGTTTTTAACAAATTTGGTTTCCTCCTGTGTAAATATTATAGCTAGATATACCTGAACGGGCTAAATGCAATCAAATCAAAGGCCAATCGACAGTAAGAGAAATATATTTTACAGGAGTGTGAATAAGCGGGCCCTGAGATCAACATTACATATGAGCCGCATTTACTAAATGGGAGGAGTTTGTGCACTAGATCAAGTAACAGTAGTGAGCTCTTATGGCCCTTCTACCCGTGTCACGTCTAAAACTATGAAATTCAAATTTAAATGCAAGGACGACTAGAAGGTTTCAAAGTTGGATGATCATGCATTCAAGGATAGCACTAAACAGTAGCGTAGGCTAACTGTCAGGTCAAGAGCTAATTTTCCTTATAGTGAAGAATTCTAAGGTCCTTAGATTGAAATCGCGAAAGCTCTTATACATCATTCGTATTAGTTTCGGCGAACTGAGTGTCTTTTGCGGAGCTGCCTGATAATGATTGCCAGACTGTTTGACAGCAGTAAATTCGTGATCCCAAAAATTTTCTCAGCTTTAAATTCAAGATAAAAAGAGGCTTCCAGGAAAATTAGTCACTCTTCAATGTATTAGACTGTTAATTTAGATAATTATTTACATTTAACTATTTAAATCGGACTACTTTATACTGGTTCTCTACTTGTTACTTGTGAAATAAAGCAACTGAAGACTATTTTATGGTGATATTGCTATCAGATCTACTTACAGGGAATAGATGGGTAGATAATTTCTCAGTCTATACCGTTGCTACTTCCCAGAGAAATTTTCTCGATCGCCATGTCCATCATAGTTCTTCCACTGATTATTGATGTTGTACAAACTACGATTTTCCTACAAGCTGAGTTTCCGAATTAGTTATTTAGTACCAAATTACTGTGGACGCATTTGCTTACTTTCCTCTTTCCTGCAAATGAACCGCAAAGCAGCAATCTCTGCGTAAGTTATTCCACCTAGAAATACGACAAAAACTACTTTCTTCTCTACATTGCTCGTAAACATCTCTCTAGCCAAGGCGACTTTACTACTAAATTTTTGTATCTCGTCAAAAGTCTCCCCACGAATATGTTTGATAGCTTCTTCAAATCCTGTAAATTTTTGTGGCATAGTTCCTAATTTTGGTGTTACAGTGTCATTGATGCTACTTTCACGTGCGAGCGATGATAGGTACTGCTTTTGTAGTATAGACTGGATTAGTCTTACTGATAAGGGTGCGTATCCACTGTATACATAAGCCACATCGTCTGGGTCACTCTCGTTTACTTCATCTACAATAAGCCGAAGAGCTTTGCGTAAGTAAGTGTAGTTTGTCTTAGTTCCAACGCTAGAATTACTCCCACTCATAGGGATCATCACTGCTAATGGTGAACTTCGTGACAGAAGAAGTTGGGCTTTCTCTAGGGCGCTCAACGTGAGGATATGTTGGTATCCGTAGGCATGCAAAATCATCTTTTTGAATTCTTCTAAATCTCGAGATTTTATACCACCTGATATGCATGATTCTAGACAAAGAAGCCTTAGTACTTGAGAAAGCGGAGCATTTTTGGAGATTAATTCCTCAATTGATTCGTGCTGAGTAGATGGATCACAGCCAGCCGCTAAATTTTGCTGTATCTCTAGTATTTTAGTGAACTCTTCTGTTTGAGTGTGTTTCATTATTTCTTCCGCAAGGTTAGTGTGTATTTTTAAGCTCTGTTGCTCTACCTGGTACGCAGGGAGTTTGTTTACAAAATCGCGTAATTCTGCTGTTGTTTTAGTAGTATGTCTACTGTCATACTCAGACTGTAGACGCCTGGCTACACTGTTTAGCGACTTTCCAACTGTGGCGAAATTCTCATCTCTCAGCTGGTGAAATAACTTGTCTGACGAATGGAGTGAGAGTTTTTGCTGCTTGGACTGGGCCGGTGCACCAGGTAATGGTTGCGGTGTGCTGCAAATTATAGAAGAGTCAACTTCAACTTGATTATTCTGAATCCCAAAAACCTCGTCAATTAATCCATTATATGTAAGTTGTGTAAGAAGTGGTGTAGCATAGTCGACTTCCCGATCGATTATAATAAGGCTTTCTATAGTGGCACTTGGAAATAGACCGGGCGTTATTTCGTCACTTGAATCCTCACTTGCAACTAATTCTTGACGCATTCGGGAAAGTAGATCCGCCAACTTTCTAGCCTTATCACCCTTTCCTGTTATCCGGGGAAAGTAACCATATTTCTGTTGAATGATCATCAAGGAACGCGCCATCATGAACGTCGGTGCATAAACTTTTCGCAGATAGAGGTCGGCGAACGACTCTTCTAGCTCAAGCGATAAGATGTCTTTCTCCATAGGAACAAAGTACAATGGGAATTCTGATACGTTTGTATCCCCAAGCACACCCGCTTCTTCGAGTACTTTTTCTGAAACGAGAGTCTTTCGCGGGACCCAAAAAATAAAGAACTCGTGCCAAGACTGACTATCTCGCTGTATCTTCTTAATTTGCTCTGATGTTCGCATTAGCAAGAAGATCTACTTTCGATAGATTACGTCAATATAACATCCGGATACCTGCCTGGTCTGGCTTATCACTTATGTGAATAAGGAGTTTACTATCCTAGATGATAATCTTTGAAGATATTATAAAAACTTGGAAGTTCAAAGTGTGCAGGCCACATACCAGCTATGAGCTGCACGAGTCTAGCATTCTCACCGCGAGCAATGAAAACCACATTCCGTTGACTAACATCCGCGTTCTGATTTTCGAGGAAAAAGATTTTGTCTACACCGTAATCCTGGAGATTTGTAAACTTTACAAATGATCCTATAGGACCAGCTAAACTTCGCTCAAGTACTAGGTTCTTCTTGCCTCTTACCTGAAAACCTGTTAGCAGTATGTAAAAATGCTTGGAGATGATTGATATCTGAACTTACGCCTTCCAGTAAGTAAAGAATATCTTTCCGCGCTTTTTCTTTTATTTCTTCAGTGTCGAACTCATAGGCATGTTGAGCCATCTTGGGGTCTACATGGCAAGCTTAACTTTCATATTTTATGTTTGTAAACAGACAGATGATTGGTTTATCATTAAATGCTCAAAGAGTGGGGCGCAAGTCTTGGAAAGCATACCTTTAATTTGTGTCAGCCTTGAGAGCCTTATAATATTCAGAGGTACCCACATTCGCGGGATAACTTGGAGAAGTGTGACAATTGAAGTTTTCCGGCTACACAGGCAAGCTCTTGAATGTGGAAATTCAAAACATTTCTCTTCAATTCAGCCAGTACATCTCCAGCGTACTACAAATTTGAGTCATTTAAAGTACACTTTCAGATACTGGTCCAGGCTAGGTACCCTCGAAATTTCTCTATCAGCAAAATAACCAGAGAAACAAAGGCGAATATGACACCTCAAATCCAAAAATTTGAGCTCAAAACGCCTAAGGGCACCAAGGATTGTTAGTCCCCTTAGGACATCTAATAGTAAAAGTTCTGATCTGATTCTACAAGGGCAGGGAAAGGATATGATTATTCGAGACAACATATTCTCCAAAATAAGCGATGTTTTTAAACGCCATGGCGGCGTGACAATTGACACACCAGTCTTTGAATTAAAAGAGATACTTTCTGGCAAGTATGGCGAAGATAGCAAACTTATCTACGACTTAGAAGACCAGGGTGGGGAAATCTGCTCCCTACGATATGACCTGACTGTTCCTTTCGCAAGATGGCTTGCCATGAATCGTGATGTTCAAAATATTAAAAGGTATCATATTGCGAAGGTCTACCGCCGTGATCAACCGGCAATTTCCAAAGGACGTATGCGCGAATTCTACCAATGTGATTTTGATATTGCTGGATCATACGACTCTATGCTGCCTGACGCGGAAATAGTTCGAATTGCGACAGAAGTCTTCCACAGCCTTGGATGGAAAGGTAACTTTACAATTAAGATAAATCATCGCAAAATTCTAGATGGAATTTTTGAGGCTTGCGGAGTTCCTGCCGATAAAATTCGTGCCACATCTTCTGCTATTGATAAGTTGGACAAGTTACCTTGGGAAGAAGTGCGAAAAGAGATGACTGAGCAAAAAGGCCTGCCCATTGAAGTGGCCAATAAGATTGGTGAATATGTGGTACAAAAAGGGCAGAAAGACCTTTTGCTTAAGTTAAAATCAGATGAGTTTTTGCACACGAATTTATCTATGAGTGCTGGCATAGCCGACATGGAATTACTCTTCGATTACCTTGAAGCTTTTAACGCGCTTGAAAGCGTTAGCTTTGATTTAAGCCTGGCGCGTGGTCTAGATTACTACACAGGAATTATCTTTGAAGTTGTCACAGAGGGCTCCGCCCCAACTGCTGGCTTGGCTAGTTCTACGAATGCTAAAAAGTCTAGTACTCGCAAAAAGTCTAGTGCTGAACCTGATGACAGATCTTCAGATCCCAGTATTGGCGTAGGAAGTATAGCAGCCGGCGGCCGATACGATAATCTCGTTGGCATGTTCTCTGGTAAAACTCAAATACCTTGTGTAGGTATTTCTTTCGGTGTTGATAGAATTTTCTCCATAATGAAGGCGAGAATGGCAGCCAATAACGTGGGAACAATAAGAAATAATCAGGTTGATTGTTTCGTAATGGCATTCGGTGGGAAGGGGTTTACCGGCCTCGTTAAGGAAAGAATATCAATCTGCGCAACCCTGTGGGAAGCTGGTATCAAGGTAGACTTTCTTCGTGGCCAAATAAAAATAACACTGCTTACTAGCTCCAGGCTGAGTTTCTCTACAAAGTAAAACCCAAACTTCCAAACCAGTTCAAAGCGGCTGAGGTAAATGGTGTTCCGTTTTGTATAGTGATAGGCGAGGAGGAGCTATCCAATGGTCAAGTAAAAATTAAAGAGATGGGCTTACAAGATGGCCATCCAGAAAAAGAAGGCATCCTAATTAATCTTGAAGACATTGTTCCTGAACTGAGTCAACGTCTGAAACAAAAGGATTCCGAAAACTGCGTAGCGCAGAAATCAGAAATTGTGCATGGAGTGGGTATCAAGAGCGAATCCTTAAAGTCATCACAGCCAGACTCTTCTCACCCAACTCTAACTAGCGATACAGCCACTGAATCAAAGATCAACACGAACTCCATCGCAGAAAACCAGAGCTAACATGTTTTATGAAATATGTAATTACAGAAACCAAATGGGGCTGGCGCCAACTAACGTGAACCCGGAGGCTGATCCTTGAAGATTGACTCAAAACCTTCATATCCTGGGCTCAATCACTTGTAAAGTTCAATGGTTGATAGATGGAACCAAGAAGGGGCTACTTTGACCAGACAATTTTGAGCTAGAAAAATTAAAGGTGAAATTTCAGAAGGCCACATGGGCTCTAAATAAGAGATTCCTTGACCACCCAAAGCAAAGTGTACTTCAAGATGAATGTAAACGAGTGGTTCATGGCGGACTTTCTATTGAACGTTAGTAATTCGAATGGCAAGATAAGATGAGTCTATTGTTGAACTGCATCGTATTCAATACAGGCTACTAGAGCGAACTGTACGGCCATCCCCATCCAGAAAAAAGCTAGTATTAGCCTTTGAAACCCCTCGTCGCTGTGAAGATATTTCAGAGCTTGTGAACTATCTGTCCTGCTTCAGAAGCCGTGCAAATGATCAACCTAAAAGCTCTTTGGTGAACCTACTAGATCAAACGCTGCTCCCGTTTTCTCAGGCTGGTATTGTGCCTTACCCCTTAAACATGGCTCAAGTATAAACTTGCATCTAGTGGCCTAAACTGTGGAGTCATGGAACATAAAATCTATATCCCGCGGACGCCGTCTATTGTTTGCAACAAAGTGTTCATCACCTTCAGGGCGTTCATTCTTCGTGTTACCCGTCAGCATGCTTTGTAGGCTCATGCATACGCTTTCTACATTGTGAACTGGGCTCCATCCCTGTTGTGCTAATAGATCAAGACATATTATACCATTAGAATAGATGTGCGGGTGCATTGGAATAGGTCGGCCAGGAAGAGAAACAAACGTTACTTCTGGAGGCTCTGCAAACATTTACATTTAGTAAAGCGAATTTCTAAGGTCTGGGGCATCAACCTATTGGATACGATGGACTGAATTTAAACTTGAGTCGGTAGGTTTCACCAAGATAAAGTGGATTCTGATCTAGCACCTTTATATCAAGACACCATTCGGAAAATGCATCTCCTGTTGAAACAAGTTCAATTCCAGGTGGAAGGGTGCCCTGTATCTTTTTAAATCGTCAGAATAGAATTTTAACTTGATATAGACAGGTAGTACCTTGGAGAGCTCTTTTGCGAGGCGTTTCGCAGCGAATGACATGGCTTTTTGCTGCGTTGTGACGGTATCAAGTATTCGGATGTCTTTTCCTGATAGTTCGATTTGAGCAATGATAGTGTTGTAGTTGATTGTTGCCAGATCTTCGCCTCTGATGTTAATAACCAGCTAAGCTGTATTATAATTTAATCTTTTTGCACAATTAAAGTATCTTGGATATGTTGAGCGACTCTTTCCAGTAAGAAACTGTTAGGGCAATGATAGTTAGCAGGTGTTTCACTTTAGTAGAGGCAATGTAAGTGGGTCTTGTATCCGCAGCATGGAGTCACTTAGTGAGTTTAATCGGGTTATGAGATCTCAGTCTGCGATTTATTACTAGGCGATCCTACTACACCCTTCCCCTAGTTCCTATTCTCATCGTCGGACTGCGCATGTTACCTCTAGATTTTACGACTCTAAGAAACTCTCAACAAGATCCACCTCAAGTTCTCTACTTTAAAACCGCCTTCCTCGTCCCCTAACGAACACTGCTAGATTAAACCTGTCTCATCATAGTCTGAAATCATACTGTCCCAGTAATCGAATGACTGCTCTCCGGGGTCCAGCTCATCTGCATCATTACCAGCATTTACGAATAATCGATCTGATTATAAACCCACTTAACACTCGGAGATATCTACCAGAAAATTGTGCAAATTTTGTGAGAGGTGAAATTATCGCTGCTAAACTTACTGAACCTTAGTTTTGGCAGTCAACATGACTTGTGAGTTCATCCGACCCCTCTATCAAATAACCCCGCCATCAGCCCGCCCCACTACCTGGCTCTTGCATCCCCAAATAATACCTTTACTCGATAGCAGTTATGAGTTGTCACTCCTTTGGGAATTGGGTAATATGCAAATACAACTCTAAAATATTATGACTATTTGTGAGGACTGCAGCTAATCATGGCTTCATCAATTTATTTAGTCTCCAATATGTTACACAAATTACATGGTCAGCCTGAAAGCTATGAAAAAAAGTATGCCTCACTGTTAAGCCCATGAGCACTTCTATATTTTCACTGACATTTATTGTAGGTCAAAGTATCACTTCGGGCGGACACTAGGCGCTGGAACATACGGAATCGTTCGAGAAGCAGAGGGGCCTACAGGAAAAGTTGCTATTAAGATCATTCTAAAAAGAAATGTGCGAGGAAATGAAGAGATGGTATACGCTGAGCTGGATATGCTGCAGCGTATGAAACATCCTCATATTGTTAAGTTCATAGACTGGTTTGAGTCTCGGGACAAGTATTACATTGTCACCCAACTCGCGACAGGCGGTGAGCTTTTCGATAGGATTTGCGAGAGGGGGAAATTTACAGAGAAAGATGCATCCCAAACAATCCTTCAGGTCCTCGAAGCTGTCAATTATCTCCACGATAATAATGTGGTACATCGGGGCATGAAATACTCTCTCTAGTAGGGCCAAGCGAAACTAATTTTTGATAGATCTTAAGCCCGAGAATCTTCTCTACCTCTACAATGATCCCAAATCAGATTTGGTCTTAGCAGATTTCGGGATTGCAAAGATGCTTGATTCGAAGGATGAAGTACTCATGACAGTAGCTGGATCCTTTGGCTATGCTGCGCCAGAAGTTATGCTAAAGAGAGGGCACGGCAAGCCTGTTGATATGTGGTCACTTGGTGTCATCACATATACGCTGCTGTGCGGGTATTCGCCTTTTCGTAGCGACAACTTTAATGACCTGATGGACGAGTGCAGTAAGACTAGTGTTGTTTTCCATGAGCGGTACTGGAAGGACGTCAGTGATGATGCCAAGGATTTTATATGTCACCTTCTACAGCCTGATGCGGAAGACAGGTCAACAAGCAAGGTAAATTTTCCCCGATGCTAAGTTATGCAGAGTCTACTAAACCTGTCGTAGCAAGCACTACGTCATCCATGGCTTAGCGGCGAAAGTGCAACAGAACACAACTTGTTGCCCGAAATCAAAGCTTACATGGCTAAGGCTCGTTTACGCCGAGGGATTGAGATTGTTAAGCTTGCCAACTGCATAGAAGCTCTTAAGATTCAAGAAGATCAGACCGAAGACTCTGATGTCCCAGCCAATGCAAAAGCTGCGGCTAACGATGCCATCGTTGGTCCAGAGGCGGATACTCCTAACCAGAGCAAGTCTATCCCTACAACTGACAAGAAGGGAGCAATTTTTAGAGAAATTGTGTTGGCAAAAGTAAGGGAAACTAAAGAGGAAGAGAAGAAATTACAAGTGGAGAAAGAAGCAATAGACAATGCATTGAAAAGGAACAGTTTATTTTAAAACCCTTTGCCCTAACATTTTACTGATGTGTTGATGCGATATTTTTAGCTCGAAATTTTGATGTAATGAACATAAAACAAGATTCGGTACTTTTGTAGCGTAATTTAGACTAATAAGGCAAAATTCTAGGCTAGATTCACTCTGAAGGCTTCATAGAGAATTCAATTTATGATTCTCTGGTCTCCATTAGAGTAGTCCTGGAGAAGGTTGATTGACATGACTCATTAAATTTTACATAATTGATATTACTTGCCCCAACCTTCGCTAACGCCGAATTCCAAGAGAAAATGACCATATTCAGAGAGATAGCTAATTGCTCAATAAAACGCTTTTTACAGTTATAAGTAAACAGTAAAACAAATAGTCCCGTACAATAAGCCTTACATATAGCTGAGAAAATAGCGCGCAGAATCCAGCAACGGATTTTAAGCGAAAATATTTCTCAGTGTCGAGGACATGTGGCGCAACTTTGATCGGCAAATGCGGATACGTGCGAAAATAGCTCTTAAGTGAGGTTCGTGAAAATTCTTTGATCATCATTGCGGAGGTTTGTTGATCTACCTAAGCCTTGGCGACTTACATACCAAGTCCCCACTTCCTTATAGTTCACTCAAAGCTCTCTCACACAGATCCTTGTAGCGAGTCGCGTCAAAACGCTTCCTAGTCCGTTTTTCCTCTTGCACAAACCGCATTCTATCAGCAAGTGATCCGGTGAATTTCAAGGTTGGTTTTTTGACAGCTGGGATCGAATGAAACTTCATTTCATTGATAATAGTTTCGATACTAGTCGTATGGTAGATAAGTTGCATGCGAAAGCTTAAGAGCATGTCGTGATATCGCAGTAAGTGTGCTAGCCTTTTAGGACTCGGCGAGCTAGTTGAAGTTTGTGCCCGGTTTCCTGGGAGGGCAAGGGGTGGTGGCTCCAAGGGATCGCGGAAGGAGCTCTTGCTTGGTACCTTGTTGAGTGAATATACAGGGGTTGTGGACCGGGAAGAGGACGATGAGGATAAATTGTCGGAAAAGGAAGTCGGGGACACTAGATCTAACGATGTTAGATCGTCATTTTTTCGGGAGTTTTTCGGAGAGGTGATGGTGGAGGCTGAGAAGGAGACTTTCTTCTTTGGTCGTGGCTGCGGACCTTCGGATTCGTTATCTTCTGATTTTTGACTACTCTCATCTGACGAAGCGGACCGGCTTGTCATTGACGATGATTTGGAGTATTGGGAAAATACCGAGTCAACAGATGACCGAACACTGTATGATCTTGGCGACAGACACGAAAGCCTAGAGGTGCGACGAATTGCATCTGCAGAGAATGGGGCGCGCTCCAGCTCCTGCATCGCGATTCGATAGTTTACAAGGGCTTCTTTATATAGTGGAAGCTTACTCGAGGAATTTTCGGGTGCACTAAAGGCCATTGTTTCGAGAGAAGTAGCAAGATAGTAGGAAATATATACGAGATATATAGGATTTACTGGATACTAAATGATGTTAGAAGGTAATTTATTGATAATTTTGATCTCATTATCACATACTGAATTACGAATACCTTCCAAGATTAACCTGCAACGGATCGAACAATGTTTATGTCGCCCGTTCAAGTATAATGATTTGACCTCCTCTAAAAGGATATTCCAGTCATTTTCGGTGAGGGGTAGAATTTTTAGGGCCGTAACAGCAGCTGGACGAGGCCTACGGCGAGTCGGCTGAGGACATGATTTGGAGCGGTCTTGGTTGGGCGTATTTTGACAGGAATAACGTTTTTGATCGTGGGGATAAGCTAACTTTAGGGGGATTAGATGGTTTTTGGAATTGTTGTAGCTTGTTTGAAAGCTCTTCTTTTCGTTGCAAGGTCGAAAGGATTGGCGGAACCGCGGTATTCCCGTGATATTTTGGAAATTGGTTATCTCTGAGGGCGAATTCAGAGTATGTCTATTGGATATATCAGGACGCCTAATACCACTAACTCTTTCTTCTCTTAAGCACCCAAGCACTTGTTGCACTTGAGTCATCTGAGGAAGCTGAATATGAATGCCACTACAGCAATCGGTTGTCATGTTGTGAAAACCTACTGTACCACAAGTGCACATTAATTGAAACCACACAGTAGAAACGAGCGTCGTGTCGTGAAAGACTTGGGCTGGAGGGATAAAGTCAAAAAGTTTAATGCAAAGAGTGACTGAAAGGAATGGTGGACCGACTGGTAGCTAGTAAAGGTAACATGAGCTTGTAGAAAATTGGACTTTACCGATAGGGACACTGACAAAATTAAGCATTGGGGGGATAGGAGGGACAGGGGGGACGTTGCAAAGTGACAGACAGATCTTGACCCCCGATTCCCTAACCATATTATGAAAGGGGTTGCATAAAACACCCTAGTGAGACAGATTGTCATGTATTGGTTCTTGTGGGGTTGAAACGAAACGTAGGAAGACTTATCCATACCCTAGAGCTAGCTAAATGATCCAAGCTCACGTCTTACTGCGCCTTACTGGATCCAATATTTACTTGCTATGGTTCTTCGCCGCACTACCTCCTCTCTCTCACATCCTCATTTTTGCACAAGTGCATTTCTCTGCCTCCTGAAGTCCAAGTCTTTCGTCGTTTTGGAAGGATGACAAGATTAGCAACGCATGGTTTTTCCATTTACCACCAGACTGCGCATCGGCAGCGATAAAATAGCTGCCTCATGCACCGGCTCGCAGCAGGTTATTCCTTGAGAGATCAACCCGGCACAAGCTGATCTTTCCGTACCTTTGTCAAGCAATGAGGTGTTCAAGTTATAGTCTGATTTTTAGTGGATTTTCGATTTTGAACGAACTCATCAACTTTTTCCATGATCAGGGCAACGAGCCTTTGATCGAATGGCTTTAAAACCCTCCCCGAACTAGCCGGATAACATCTACCCAAGGACCAAGCTTTCCCACTACCCTATCGAAGTCATAGCTCGATTATTCTCTGTATTCGATGCGGGCCAGATATTTTCCGGTTGGCATTTGAACGTGATTTCTTGAGGTTTGCCTAGCCTTCCATCTATCGTAGTACGTATCAGCTCTAAATATGACCCGAAACTATCACAATAAATTAGTCCCTGTTCTAGCCGCTTGCTCCATGAAAAACTGCTTTAGCAGCTTAAACGAATTTACTGTTCTCAGGCCGAGGCTTCGCAAAGGGACCAGGGGTCCTGACTCTACACTGTATAGCTTATGGAGCTTGTCCACCACACCAAGAAGCACATGGTTGGCAGCATAACGCTCGGCATTATAGGGCTCTAACGTCATGCTTACACCAATATCTTCTCCGTGAATCACCGCGTTCTTGATAGTTTTAACCAGACTTTCCACATCAGCCTGTCCTTGATTCAGGCCCAGTCCTGCTAGAGGATGGATAGAATGTGCTGCATCGCCTACGAGCGCCACACGTTCGCTTATATAAGTATCTGCGTGCCGCATCTTTAGAGGAAAAGAAGCTATACTTCGTTCCTGTACTTCTACTACATCCTGGGGAATCTTTCTCGTCTCAACTTTGGTATGCTGTAATCTCCAGACCAATTCTTCGTGTTGCCCTGAATCTAAACCATGCATGTAAGAAATGTCAACTGGCGAGAGTCTAAAGGCAGCGTTGATCATAGCTATGAAGTCTGTTGAATTTAATCTTTTCAGACAATCAGCTCTCTCTGGAGTTGTAGACCAAACTAAGGTGGAGTAGTTTCCAGGGAGGGGTAGCATGGCTATTGGACCGGTAGGCAAAAATCGTTGGTATGCGGTTTTGCACCCATTGAGGTTCCATCCGCTCCCTTGTAGCTTCAACGTAGCAACCACACCAACCCTGTCGTAGTCCCATCCCCTGCTCCCTATTCCAGCAAAGGTTCTGACGTGACTGTTGGCTCCGTCGGCACCCACAAGTAGTCTAGCTACGAGTTTCTCTCCGCATTGCAAATGCACCACAGGCCATGTCCTAAGGTCTTCCTGTTCAGCCTCCATCCCATAATCAATTTTAATCAATTTCTGATTATCAAAAATCTCAACGCCCTCAAGTTCTTTGATTCTGGTGAGTAGTGCAGAGGTGAGGTTTAGGTTCTCAGTCATGTATGCGATATTGTCTATCTTTTCGGCCGGCTGCCAATTGAACTCAATTCGAGCATCTGATACACCATCCCAAACTTGCATTTCGTGATATGCTTGTACCCGATCTGATTGCACAAGATTCCATGCCCCAATTTGATCTAGGAATCTCATAGATGATGGGGTGATGGAGCTGACCCTATTCGAAAACGGACTTGATGATAGCAAGGAGCGAGTTTTATCGAGGTTCACTGTATCAACGAGGGCAACCTTGAGATTTTTAGTCGCGCGAATTGAGCCTATATTTTATCAGCAGAGTTTCCAGTGGCGATGATGAGTTATTCATACGTAGAGCTGCTAATAGACTTAATCCTGCGGGCCCCCCTCCAACACAAACCACGTCGAAGATGTTTGATGGTGTGGTGGACAGATCAGCATAGTTTCTGGCTTGTCTTTGGCAAATTTTGCTAAATTTGTCTCTTAATCGGCATGTTTTTGCGGTATTTGCTAGCTTCATGGTGGAATTCTCAATATTTATAAGATGATGGACTGTTGGGTCATGTAGACGATGTCCTACCCTGGTTCATTTATTATCACGTGAATTAAGGATGGACTGCAGAGATTTCAACACGTAAAGCAAACAGTAAATACTACAACAACCGTGATAGACTCAGGCTTTGGTGTTATGTGGTATAGTTTGAGTAGCCTGGACACCTATTCCACCTGAGAAGGAGATGCCTAAGACCACATTTTGCGTGGAGAAGAGTAAATCGATGAAGGCATGTCTGGAAAACTTAGGGCTTTTGAGACGTTTCTCTTGGAAGGTGTTCACGGATGGGGATTGACTTGGGGTGAAGAAAAAGCCAGCACAACTTCGCAGTGGTACTTGCAAATGAAATCCAAGGCATGAGTGCTCTTCCTCTATACTGAGTCATAGTTAGATAGCTTTATACGCAATTAAAAGCACAAGCAAAAAATAGGACTGGGGCTTGTCCAAGCATCGCGTTATGTACTTGAGACAACCGCAAACATTCTATCCACTTGTATAAGAAGGCAAAACAGCTTGACTACGACTCGAGACTCTCTACCAATACCCACTATGTAGCAATTGCTATACATCAAATTCTGGTATCATCCTTCGCCAAAGCAAAGAATACATCCTCAGCCTCGAAGATCATGTAAAAGTATTTTGATGAAAAGATTACTCAGAGTCCGGATACATGGGTTTTGAAATGAAGGATATAATAATAGAGGAAACTACCCTTGGGAGACTGGACACTAATGTTCAATGATAAAATTGAAGTCCACAAGCAAGAATAACAGAGTTGCTTGACTGTAGAGACGTTCAAAGCAGACGAAGGAGAGAATTTATGAATGAGTGAGTCTGAACTAAAAGGTTGCAAAGATAGCAATTCCTTCAGCTTCATGCACTTCTTGAATTGTTGAGCAGTAGCCGAGCCTTAAGTAAATTACCTAGGTGCTCGAGGGAGCGTCGGCACACCGATGATTGATAAAGAAATACCTATTTGGCACTCGACCATAATATGGTACTGATGTGCGCCAGCACAAGGTAAAGTGAACGAACAAAACAATACTAGTTGTGCCAAATCATCCTTTGGCCGTGGACTTTGATTGTAATGTCATCCACTTCAATCAAGTTTGATGTTTACTAAGCTCTCTCCCCTTCAAGATTCCACGGGTAAATACCAGTGGATGGCTATTCATCACTGGCAATAAATCAATGATCTTTCGAGTAACATAATAAGATAGTAGCAGTGTACAAGTTGTGGCCTGGGCTAGAGAAGAGCTCATTGTGCTGGATACACTACGACTCAAGTAGTACAATAAATATACGTCTCTCTCCCCCTTAAGTGGAGCTGAAACTGAGGCAGTAACCTGTTTGAGACGTATGTGAAGTTTCGTCACTTGTCCTATTCGACAGCTAAATAGCTGCTGTCTGAACTTGCTAGATACTCGTTGATCCATGTGGCACAAGAAAAACCAACTGTTGCTTTATTTTTTCAGAGAATTCGGGTTAGGTGTCAATGTTATCAAATGAAGCATTCTTTCGATATCTTCAAATACAGTTCTTGCATTGTGCAGTTATATTCTATGAGAATGCAGACATGTTTCACCGCATTAATCCCGCGTCGAACCATATACGAACAAGCACCTTTAGTAACTCTAAGGTACCGTGTCAATAGTTTCGAACTTTCAAGCTGATGACTAATTGCACCGAGTTTAATAGGGGTGGAGTACCACACGATGTGGGCACTTTACTTTTAATGGATAGAGCCCGAACATGACGGGTGGGGGCGTCAGGGAAGGTGTTTATGCTTAGGCAAAAATTAACACCTCAGACCGATAGAAGTATATCCACGCAACAACACTATCAAATACCAAAAAGGCCTGCACTGTGATATCTGATATTTACTTGTTACAATTGGGAACTAATATGAAGGCTCAAGCCAATGGTCTACCTGATCCCCAAGGGGTTAGTGCAACGGATTTTTTGGTGAGACTCTATCCCCAGATAACGTTCATTAATGATTGTTCTAATCCACATACATAAAACCTCATTGGGCTTGCGATGTGCGATTCAGCAGACAATTTGGGCGAACTCGTCGGGGGTGCGTTCTAGTTCGGCTTTAGAGTCTTTCTAGCATCGTTGCACTCTAGCTATTCTGGCCCCCTTCGGCACCCATGCTACGAAGATCATCTTCCGTCAATGGATCATGTCTGTTGTCATAACGCGTTTCGTTGGCCCTTCTGCACTGGGTCAAACAGTCTCGACGGCCACATCTAGATGTAGTCGCTTACCACCGACACTAGTTCCAAGGAAACAGGGGACCTGGTGCGTTTATTGAGCTGGTGCCAATTCTACGACTTCAGCAGTGGCCACCAACGCGTGCTGAAGTCTGTTGCTAAATTTTGCTGGGTTGGCTTAGCTTGATTAGCAGGACGATCGACAAGTCCAACAATGAGTTATTAGCAGTTCTCTAATCGCGAAACATAGTCGATTTTGGCGGGATTGAGGATTTAATGGTCTGACCTAAAAGAGTTTCATGCCCCATTCATGAGGTGGGTCCAGCATGACACCTGCTACTACTTGGACATTGCCGGCTAGTAAACTCGAGCGCGGTCCCTAGTCGGTTCCCCGATGTCTGTGCTACAAAGGCTGCGAACTTTTTGCAAGAATGGACCAGAATGATTGATAAATCAATATACCGTTGAAGCGCAGCGGAAGGACAACTTTCTCAAATAGCTGGGCTCTTCGTAGGATATTGAGTCCAGCAAAAGTCGACGCACTGTAGAGATCATGATGAGTCGCAAGTAGCTACGGCTGGCCGGTTTTGGTGAGGAAAGCCTTTCATCAGTCCAGACACGTGGATGCCATGCAGCCGATTTGGTAGACTGTACTCATATACGTAAAGCCATATTGGCTTTGGTTCTTCTTTGCTGTCTAATGTCGTACGTGAGCGCAACAGTATGGGAGCTAAGGGCCGTTATGATAAGGGAATAAACTTTCACCAACAATAGCCACAGCGCCGCCAATACTGCAGACCCTAGTATTCTGCAGTACATATTCGTCGGGATTTTGCGTGACTACACATTAACACATATACATATCGATGTATATAGAGATGGATCACCAGGACATGGCTCTTTCTTGTTCAACCCTGATGTCATGTGATATGTGCACCGATTATTGTTCATGGTGCTCTTTTACAGGAGGATAAATGAATATCGGTTTTCGGTCGCAAATGGCCCAGACAGGTTACATTTTTTGCAAACCCTCCCAGGCCGACATCTTTCAGACCCAATAAGCAGTGCAGATAGACTCTGATGGCTCTTGAAAAGTTGTATACCCGAAAAGTAGCGTTAATGAGAAAATAGAGGCCTCACTAAGACTGGCATGATTCCTGGTTGATATTGCGGATTTCTTTGGAATAGGAGTTTTTACGCTAATCGTGTTTGCCCACTTTGCCGAGTGCTTTCTTTCTGCTCAGACAGGCAGTTCATCTCCCTTGTCCGTGTGCCCTCGGATCATCCTAGCAGTAACACGCTCACATCTATGAAACACATGGTGATCTTAAGTCAGTAACCTCTATGTTTTCCAAGTCCTTCTGTGTTAAATATAGGTGGGCCGCTACGACATCTCTTCCGCTTGATGATTTTGCGTGCCGTGTGGTCAGGTGTGTTTGAGACGAATGACCGCCTGTGGTGCACGTTTACGCGCGGTCGACCCTCCAAGGCCGACTTGGACTCTCCGCCATACGCATGCTGTGAGGACGGCCCTTTTCTCCTGGCTCCTACTATATTCCAGTTTCTTAGAGCATCGATCGACGTTTCACCAGAATGTGTCCTCTGACAAGCTCCTCCCGCAGGGCTAGTCTCACGTGAACTAACTGTTCACGAGGCGTAACCTCGACACGCTCGCACCGCCATCTCTCCGGCTTTCGAGCTTCCATTTGCCTTGCTACGTCTCTATGTGCGCCAACACGTCAAGCAGATTTACTAAGACTGGTACAATTTAGAAATGATGAGATCACATACCGTGCGTGGCCACGACAATAATTATTATAAATAAATACATGTGGAAGGGGGGGTAAAGACTGAATACTTGTCCATGGTGTCATTTACGAGTCTGGAAGTGCATTATTCGCTTAAAGCCAGAATTAATTCATCCTTCTACAGTCGAATTGATTTTTTCCTCACTGAGATTCTTATCATAAAGAGTCGTGCTAGGCTGATTTTGGTCGGAACTCCTGGGTTTAAGAATATTTTCGACCACACAAGTCACGAAGAAAAAAATCAAGACCATTGAAGATGATATTAGGTTAGGCTGAATATCGCACTCCTCCTCGATAAACTAAACAAGATTTTAAGTCCCTTTTGATGCCGAAAATACCATAACATGACCGCGACCCTTTCTTCTAACACTGTTGTCGATTAAGAATTATCGGAGGATGCCAAACTTGGGTTGCTGAGTATGAATATTCTATTACAAAATCAAAGCCTGCGAGTGAGAATTGGAGAGATGCTGGGTCATGGAAGCTTTAGAAATCAAAGCCTGCGAGTGAGAATTGGAGAGATGCTGGGTCATGGAAGCTTTAGAAGTGGTCGGAATGGAAGACACAAGATTGGAAGGGTATCACTTAGAAGATTTGCTGAGGTATTCAATCCTTCAAAACTCTCAAAAATTCCTGAAGCGCTGAGCAGCAGCTCGGTATCCATTTTTGATGTACTAGGCTCTTTTGAGGGCGTTGACACGCCGGATAATCTGTATAGACTGAATTCACCGACACTCGACTGTCATAGTCTATTATTTTGCGCCAACACGACGCTAAATAATAACAAATATTAGAATATGATTCTCCTAGAAAACAGATATAAGACTGCTGGAAGTAGATTTGATAAAGTATTGGGTTAACATAAAATACAGAGCGTGTATCGCGAGTGCTTCTCTGCACTCTCTCCTAATGCTACGACCTAGCCCTCGCTATACGCTAATATGGAACTACTAATACAGGGTATATAAGATCTCCAAACGCCTTACTCATTATGCTCCTAAATAAACAATGTCACAACCATAACTCCATTATAATCAGGTGCAAGAATAATTATGTTTGACCAATAGTTATTTAATTTAACAATAAAAATATAAACTCAACCTCCTGGGCAAGTGGCTATTCGCTGGAGCCCGAGCCATCCTGGTACTATCCGAAATAAAGCCATCGGTGCGGCTTCAGCTCCACTCTCGGTACTCTCCATTGTGAGGGCAAGGAGGGAAGCCAAAGCTCAGTACCTGGATTCATTTATAATTTATTAGACAGAAATTTCACCGTCTATATGCAACGAATTGGGTGTCAGATCTAATACCACGACCGCAATTGAGCCTGCCCGTCTAGGGCGACGCAGACTAGGACATCTAACAGCTGAAAGGTCTAGCCCTGGCGATATCGGAGGCTTTTATCGATGGTTTCAGCACGAAAACGCCATCCTGACCTGCTCATGCGGCGAAGAGAAGTCCCCTAACTACCTTTTATATTTTCACCTGGAGCAGTATCTTTAGGATCCCATAGCTTAGAAGATCGCTAGGTAGGGACTAGGGTTGGCGATGTCGTACCTTTGGGTACATAAATACGTAACGCTACAGGGGGTGCAATAGAACACGAAATATACAGAGCGCAATAGTCCACAGAGAAAAGGCTAGACAACCTTCTGCTTAATTTAGACTTTGATATTGATCACCCTGTGAATCTGATATCGTGAGTCTCGAGCGATAACCTTCTCCATATCACCCACCAGTATCCACAAAAATAATTATTTTTGTGGAGAAACCGCTCCAAAAAAAAGACATCAACAGTAATCATCAAGATGAGCGCACCGGCGATTTTCCAGACTCAATTCTTTCTGAAGAAGAAAAAGTTCCCAAGAAAGAGTTAGGAACCAAGAGTTATCGGACTGTCAAAGCCTTACAGAATGCAACCGAGGAAAGGTTCGCAGCTTACGACAATTGTTTTGAAAGAATAGAAAGAAAGTTGGATTTGAGATTCGAAATGATGATGAAAGAATTTGCAAAACTCTCGAACCAGGTAGCGGAAAAATCAAAGGTTAAGAACGCATGCGACAAGCAAATCCAAAATCTAGAACCCATCGAGGAGAAAAACGTCGAAAGAGACCCAACAAATAAGCAACAACCTACGACTTCTAAAGACGTATCCAACACATATAATTCACCAAGTCAGCAGAATCTCTCTGACCAAGCCAGACTTCCTGATGGTCGTATTATACTTTATAGGACGATTGCCCCGTTCCAAAACAATATGATAATCCAGGAACAATATGTCAAAGATATCTGGCCAGAGGCAAAATTAGAATCAGAAATCTTTTACTCAGGGTCAGGTAGCAGCAGTGACAGAAACAAAATCGTTTTGAAGCCAGAATGGGAACTATCCATAGTATCAAACGGCGTATTCTCGAAACTTAGAAACATTCAGAAAGCACTTTATCTGGCCATGATACCATATAACTTATGGCCACAACGGGTAGCCATCGAAATTGACGGTGATTTTTTTCTTGTACGACGACTTATAGAGCAATAAAATATAGCTTGGATGCAGATATTGGAAGCTATATTCGAGACTCTTGACAATCATGAGATGCTGCAAGAGCCGGTCCTAGAGTTTGCGCGCCTCGCTCCCTACAAAGACAAGTCTTATCTAAATTATGCCCAGCGTGTGGTCGTACATCCGAGAAAATCAACGGCATATGTCTACCAGCGAACTCATGGATCTAGCTGTTAGGCAGGCAAAGCACATCGCGAATTGCGCCATCGAGGAGGAAATATTTAAATCATCACCAGAGACAGTAGCTCTATGGCGCAACGCTCAGATCTATTACAGATATGGATCTGAGACGGCTTCTGCAATAACAACTGACGCGACAGGAGAGAATTCAAGATTAACAACTGTCGACCCCATCACGGACGATCAATTGATTGCAACTACTTCCGAACGCGCATACGTAGAAAGAACGCTGAACTGCTACTCGTGTGGCAAAGCTGGACATATTTCTCCAAATTGTCCCACTAAAAGAAAGAGAACACCCCTTTGCTCCAGGCCTGCGTTTGCTCCCCAGCAAAAAGGGCAAAAGGTGACAAGCAAAGGAACTCTTTTCAGTGAAAATTCTTGTGTCGGCAACTTAATTCACACGGCTAGAAAATGTCTCCGGGAGGGAAAGACAAGTCAAGGACGAAAGGTTTACTTCGTCGCATCCGACAAAGAGCATGAAGAAATCAATATTTCTCCAATGGACCGCATAGATAGGGACGATGACGTTGATTGGGAAATTGAACAATTAGAAAACGAGATCCTAGAAAATACAGAAGAATAGGGCCCCGAATCCTCCTATTTTGTGGCTGTAGGAGGAGGCCGTAATACCCAGAATCGCAGTAACCCGATTCGGGAAGGGTACGGACAGCCACACAAAAAAATTCTTGCGCGCCTACATTCAAATCCAGAAAAGAGACTTACAGTGTTCTGGGACTACGGCAGCCCGAGTTGTTATATTTCAAACGATCTTTCAGAATCATTATTTCCTTATAATTCACGTTTTTCTAGTGTCATTTCAGGCGTAGGTGGTAAAGGTCAATCTATCAATCACGATGCAATCATCTCCTTTCAATTAGAAACAAAAAATGGATGGTTGGAAAAGATCACAGCTTCATGCGGCGTTGTGGAAAACGGTACTTTTCCAGGAGACATTTGCCTAGGACAAATCTATCACCAATTTGGTTTTTATTCGGACCCGAAAGGGCAAGTAACATTACAAGACTTTCCTAATTCTCCTATTTTATATAATTGCGATCCTTCATATATCGTCACAGATTCCAGTTTTCCCATTAACGATACCCAACTTTCAAGTTCAACAATCGTCAATTCCAACTCTACACATTCGCTAACGAAACACGCTCCTACACCGGCTATTCCTATATATCGAGACACCCCTCTGTGGGCACACGCGCATGTCCTGAGCTATGTAAACAAATTCCCTAGCCTGTTTAACACATCACTACGCATAACTTCAAAGATCTCCAAAGTAGAACATCACATTGACACGGGCGACAGTGCGCCTATTCAGGTGTCACCAAGGCCGTATAGTCCAGCTCATGAGAAAGCCATTCGCGAATTTCTTGATGATAAAATTGGTTCGTTGATTCAGAAAAGTACCAGCCCGTGGGCTTTACGCGCCCTCCTTATAATTAAAAAGACTCCTGAACCAACAGTAAACCCTGTTTACCGATTCTGTGTAGGCTATCGGCCGCTCAACAAAGTCACTAAAAAAAATACTGACCCACTCCCAACGCATTCTATGAAATCCAACGGGCCGCAGGTCACAAATGGTACTCATTCTTAGACTTCAAAGACGGTTTCTGGCACCTCGAAATAGCAGATAAGGATGTGCCAAAGACAGCATTCACTACACCTTGGGGTCTCTATGAATGGCTCGTGATGCCACTTGGCCTTTGCAATTCTCCAGCGACATTTCAAGCTTTCGTTGAAGACATGCTTCCTCCATTTCGGGAATGGTTAACCGGCTTACTTGATGACGTTTGTGTCTGGGCAGATACTAAGAGTGAACTCCATGAAAGATTGGCCAAAATTCTCCAACACTTCGTTGAATACGGTATAATCTTGAACCCTTCTAAATGTCGTTTTGTAAACCAAGAAGTTTTTCTGGGATTTTCGATATCAGAAGAAGGTATACAAGCAGACCCAGACAAGGTGGCAGCTGTTAGAAACAGACCAATTCCAAACACCACCACAGCAATAAGGGCATTTATTGCTGCTGCAGGCTATATGTGCTTCCTGATTAAAGACTTCTCTAGATTATGCGAACCACTGCACGAGGTAATGACGGGCCCTAAGAACTCAAATTTGAAATAACACCCCAAAATATCCAGAGCTGGAAATGTATTCGCGACACTATAATTACTCTTCCTGTGGTAGCAATGTTCGAATTTCGCCTGCCAGTAGTAGTTGAGCCCGATGCCTCTCAAAAACACGTCGGGGGTGCGTTACTTCAACCGAGACTTAAATCATCTGGAAAAACATTGCTCCATCCAATAGCTTATTTTTCAAAAAAGTTGACACCCACCCAGCAGCGCTACTCCTCCCAAGAACGCGAAATGCTAAGCGTGGTATTGTGTCTACAGAATTGGAAAATTTTCGTAGAGGGAGGCGACGTCACCGTTGTTTCAGACCACGAGTCCTTGAAAATTTTCCAAATCAAAATTAGACCAACCTCCAAGAATGATGCGTT